ACCAAGGGGATGAGTGGAAGACAGCTTTCAAAACACCTTTGGGGCACTTCGAATACCTGGTGATGCCTTTTGGTCTCACCAATGCTCCAGCGGTGTTCCAGAGGCTGGTGAATTCTGTTCTGGGTGATTATTTGAATGACTTTGTGACTGTCTATCTGGATGACATTTTGATTTTTTCCAGGTCCATCACTCAGCACCAGAGACATGTTTGAGCTGTTTTACAACGGCTTTTGGAGAACAGACTGTTTGTTAAAGCAAAAAAGTGTGAATTTCATGTACCTGTTGTAAAATTTCTAGGTTTTGTGTTGGAGAGCGGGCGATTGAAGGCAGACCCAGACAAGGTGCAAGCTGTGACAGAGTGGCCCATTCCTACCACCAGAAAACAGCTGCAGCGATTTCTGGGCTTTGCCAACTTTTATAGATGGTTCATTAGAAACTATAGTCAAACCGTTGCTCCACTAACGTCTCTCACCTCCACTTCTAAACCTTTTGTTTGGTCTGCAGAGGCCGAGGCAGCCTTCCGGGCACTCAAGAAGAGGTTCTCTGAGGCCCCGGAACTCTGCAGGCCTGACACTACACAGCAGTTCACCTTGGAGGTGGACGCCTCGGACACTGGGGTGGGAGCGGTCCTCTCACAGGTATCCCCTGCAGATCACAAGCTCCATCCCTTGCCTTTTTCTCCCAGCGCTTAACACCTACCGAAAGCAGGTATGATGTGGGAGACCGGGAATTACTGGCCATTAAACTGGCTCTTGAGGAGTGGAGGCACTGGTTGGAGGGGGCTGAACATCCGTTTGTGATTTGGACAGATCACAAGAATCTGACTTACCTCAAGGAAGCTAAGAGTCTTAACCCTCTGCAATACCGTTGGTCCTTGTTCTTCTCTCGTTTAAATTTTGTATTGTCTTATCGCCCAGGATTTAAGAACACTAAGCCCGACACTCTCTCCCACCAGTATTCCTCAGAGGATGAATCCACACCTGAAACCATTTTGCCTCCTTCCTGCATAGTGGCAGGGGTCACCTGGGCAATCAGGGACCAGGTTCTGGAGGCTCTCAAGGTCGATCCCGGCCCAGGTAAGGGACCATCCAATAAACTGTTTGTTCCTCAGAGTCTGCAAGGAAAAGTCGTACACTGGGCTCACTCTGGGAAGTTCTCCATACACCCCGGGGTGGGATGAACCTTGGCACTAATCAAGCGCTCTTTCTGGTGGCCTGCCATCTATAAGGACGTCAAGGAGTATGTGTCAGCGTGCCACGTTTGTGCCCAACAGAAAGGTACCAATCGACCACCAGCTGGATTATTGTGTTGTCTGCCTGTTCCGTCTCGCCCGTGGTCACACATAGCAATAGACTTTGTTTGTGGACTACCTTCCACCCATGGTTTTACTACTGTACTGACTATTGTAGACAGGTTCTCCAAGGCCTGTCACCTGGTTCCTTTAAAGATCCTTCCTTCCTCAGTCGTGACCGCCCAGCTCCTGGTCAAGCATGTGTTTCGGCTCCATGGCATACCAACTGAGATCCTCTCGGATCGCGGCCCCCAGTTCGTGTCCAAGGTTTGGAAGGAGTTCGCCACCGTCCTGGGGGCCCGGGTCGCCTTAACCTCGGGATTCCACCCCCAAACCAATGGCCAGTGTGAGCGCATGAATCAGGAGCTGGGCGCCATGCTACGCTGTGTGTATGCCACAAACCCCTCTGCCTGGAGTGACCACCTTGCTTAGGTGGAGTACGCCCACAATAGCCACGTCTCCACTGCCACAGGTCAGTCTCTGTTTGAAGTCTCAGATATCAGCCCTCCTTGTTCCCGCTCCAAACAGGTCCCACCACTTCCATGCCTCAGTTTCTTCGCCGGGCCCGCCGTATGTGGGCGGCCACGAAGTCCGCCCTCCTACATACCGCTGAGAAGAACCAGTCGCTGGCAGACAGGCATCGTCGCCCAGCGCCGACCTACTCCCCCGGGCAGATGGTCTGGTTGTCATCCAAGGACATACCCCTCAAGGCGACGTCTAGGAAGTTCGCCCCAAGGTACCTTGGTCCGTTCAAGGTGGCCGCTGTTCCGAGCCCAGTGACCGTTCGCCTGGACCTCCCGCAATCACTGAAGGTCTATCCCCGTGTTCCATGTATCCCTGGTCAAGCTCGTGGTTTCCAGCCCCCTGTGTCCAGTGCCTGCTCTGCCGCCTCCTGCCCAGCTCTACAAGGGGGGGCTTGTTTATACGGTTCGGCAGATCCTCAACTCACGCCCCCAGGGAAGGGGTGTGCAGTACTTGGTGGACTGGGAAGGATATGGTCCAGAGGAGCGGTCCTGGATACCTCGGTCCTACATTGAAGACCCCTCCCTTATCACTGACTTTGAGGCTTCCCGATCCACTGCAAGGACGCCGAGGGGCGTCCGTTGAAGGAGGGTGGTGTCATGTTCCTGAGCTGAGGTGAGCACTCTCTCCACACTAACCATCTCTGAGGCAATCTTCCACAGGTGAGGAGCGGAGGGAGCTGTGGGTGCGCCGAATCTCCAATCTGGAGGTCGGGTATAAAGGGAGGAGGGAGACACCACACTACGCCGGATGATTGCACCTGTTAGGTAGTCCCAGCCTCTTGACTTTGCTTGCTCTTTTCGCACGTTTGAATTTGATATTGGATTTTTTGGCTCTGAACCTTGAACTGTTTTTTCTGGATTAAGCTTTTGGATTCTCCTCTGAACCCTGTTTGTTACTCTGTTCAGGAAAAATCACTCTGCACAATTCTCTCGCCGCTCAAACCCCAGTTTTCCTGAACCACGTCCCATCCTCCTCTACAACTCCTGCCTGTTCATCTCCGCTGCCTCACCCGCCTCAGCCCGCTGAAGCTCCACCAGCACTCACCTTGGCAATCCACCTTTCCTGCACATATTGGACTATTACATGGACTAAAGCCAAATGGCACATCCTCACTGGACTTTCCAGTGCGCCTTTTGTTCCTGTTTTAAAAATAAAAGAACTTTTCTTTTACTCACCCATTGAAGTCGTGTAGATTCTGCATGTCTTGGGTAAACACCTCCCTCGAGTCATGACAGAATCATTCATCCATTCACACACTCATTCACACACTGACTCATGTTATAAATGAGTATAAATTTACAATATAAACTTTGATTTGGTGTAAAATAATTGATAATTTTACCAAATATTATATATATATATATATATATATTGTTATTCATGTACATAATCCTTCCCAAATAAGCATATTCTCAGTGCTGTTGTCAATGGATATATTTTTACATCGTGTTCTTATTGTTTCATGTGACTTTACAGTGAATAGTGATGAAATGGATGACGAGTACCACCCACCATCACCTGGACAGGTATCCTTCGCTCGGCCACAGGCATGGCCAAGCTCATCTTCTTCTTCTCCAAACCCAAGGAAAGGAAAAGCCTCAAGCTCATCTTTACTAAGTAGTAACCTCACATGTGTTTGTGCAGCTCTGACAGTGAGTGATTTTTACATTTTCATGGCCAACCTGATTTTTTATGTATGATAATTGTTCAGTTTTCTCGGTTTCCTTGTTGTGAAAATCTATTTTATATTTTGTTGTTAATAAATTTGCTCCATTAGGAGACAAATTAATTCCTTTGTATGATTTTCCCTTATTTTGAAAGGATAAAATATGTTGGGTGGATTTTTCCCCCAAACAGTCAAAAACATTATTTTTTTAGATGGAAAGACGTTCTAATATGAGTTAAGAATGAGGGAAAAAGAGCCTAAAGTAAAAACCTGAGAATGTCCTAACGGCACAAACTGTGACAAAAGGTGCCCAAAATGGTCCAAGAGAGGTCCGCCTGGATTTCTATCAACTAAAACCTCTCTAACTTTTCTATACTTCATTTTTTTTCATGATTTTTGGGTCAGCAAATGTTCAGACCCTATTCTGTGGATTTCTAGATGTTTTAGGCTGCAGCTAGGTATTTTAGAAGGAATTTTAACATCATAAAGTGGATTGTTTTAGGCGGAACAGAATATTTTTCTCATTTCTGCTGTGTTCCAGATCATGTTACTCTCCATCAGTGACAGAAGTGATGCTTTTTAGAATTTTAGAGTAAACCTTAGAGTCTTACCTTTATTTTGATACCAAAACAGCTCAAATAAACCTTGTAGTTTATACTCAAATCACTTTGGGTAGGAGGGAGGGAGGGAGGGATGGGTGGATAAGAGAGAGAGAGAGTAGGAGGGAGGGAGGGATGAATAAGAAAGAGAGAGAGTAGGAGGGAGGGAGGGATGGGTGGATAAGAGAGAGAGGGAGGGAGGGATGAATAAGAGAGAGAGGGTAGGAGGGAGGGAGGGAGGGATGGGTGGATAAGAGAGAGAGGGAGGGAGGGATGAATAAAGCTTGGTTTATGCTTGACACATTCACTTTCCGCGCGGTGATGCGGCTCGCGGATGGAACGTGCTTCACAACTCGCAGCGTTTATGGTTCGTGCGGCTCGTCTCTGCGGTGAGCCAATATTCTCCCAAACTGTAGGGGGCAACATGGAGCTCTACGGCATGCATCCAACACTACACCATAGTAGAAGTAGAAAATACTGTTTACAACATGGCATTCCAGCATTTTTAACAGCGTCCTCGTCTTTTCCGACAGTGCGAGCTATTTCTCTCCAAGAATTATTAACAACATGTTGATCACAGTGATCTCTGAGAGCTGAATCATACAAATGTCTGTGTTTACGAACCTCTGCCATACTAGTTCTTGCCAGTCCGCCATGTTTTTCCGCGTCCGTCCGTCCGCGTGGTTAGAAATTTTCCGTGGTGCGCGTTGCGGAAATCTTGAGCCGTGCAGAGACGTGGTGGAGGGGCGTGGTTGTTAAAATGACGCAAAATGACGCAACTTTTCCGCGCGGAGCAGTGCGGACCTCGCGAACACGTCAAGCATAAACCAACCTTAAGAGAGAGGGTAGGAGGGAGGGAGGGAGGGTCGAATAGAGTGAGTTATACGGTAGAAGATCCATAAGTGAGAGAAAAACTAACCTGGAGTCTGGTTGAACACCTGTACAGATGTACGGCTGCGACAACAGCTCGTAGACTCCTCCCCCTGATTAAGCTCATCTAACTTATCCAGACTTGCATCCTGAGAAAACAAACAGAATCCAATAGTTCTTAAAGAGCACACTGCAGGTTACATTTGTTGTTTCTCATTCATGTAAAATGCTGTCCAAAAATACTATTTGAAATGCTTATTGTGGATATTTGGTTTTAAAATACACAGCTCAGATATTGCAGACACAGATACAGATATTAAGACTGTGGGCGTGGCTAAGCCTCAAACATCGACCTTTCGCCATTACATTCCTTGGTGTAATAACTTCCATGTGCATGATCAGATCTATATCAAACTTTGTCTGTGTGATCACTGACCACGAAAATGAAAACGCGAACACCTGACATGACTTAAGCCCTGCCCCCTAAACTCAAGAAGTCTATTGTTTGATGTTGAAATGACCATATTTGTCCCCTCTAATTTAGTCAACATGAGACTGAGGTCATGCACTGATTTTATGATGGTGTAATGACCACTTCAGTTCTGTTAGCTTTCCAGAAAGGGAGGGGCTTTGATGCCATGGCGAATTGTGGTGTGACGCTGTGACCTTACGTTTGCAACTTCCACAAACAGCCTCCTATCTGCACGAGACTGAACATGGAGAGCAACAATCATGCCCTTTACTTAAACAGGAACAAACGGTTGGTGAACGTTGTCTAATTGTCATAATCTGTGCGCATAACCATCTCTGCTGAGTGTTGTTTACAGGTGGGTGTGTCTGGAGAGCCCAGCTGTGCCAAATCAGCTCATCAGCTATCAGGGGATTTAAGGATCAGCTGGACATCTCACCATTGCCAGATGATACTCAGTCTTGGGTAGTTTCTAGCCCTCCTTTTGAACTTTTTAAAACAATTTTAGAATTTGTTCGTCCGCCTGTTCCTGCCCTTCTGGCAGTTAACCTGCTCTGCCCTCCTGATTCCTCCAGGTTCCAGTCATCTGTTCATCTTCACTCTCTGCCATATCTTCGGAACCATCAACCACATTCCAGTCCTGCCGTTTGTCCCTGATTGCCAGCTCTCCGTCACCCACCTATCCACCTGCAGCTTCTCGGTCTCCCCATCCAGCCAGGTCTGACTAACCCCCCACCAAATACCCGGATCATCCAGAAAACAGTAAGCCTTTTTATTTCTCCATCATCGTCTCACGTTGCTCCAGACTCTGACCTCTCTTCCTCTCTCAGAACCCCACGGATCCCTCCAGTCCTGCAGAAGTGTCGTCTACCTCTCCAATTTATAATAAATCATTTAAACTTACCTTCTGTCTCTCGGTGGTGATTCTTCATGTCGTGGGTCAAGAAATTACCCTCAAACATGACAGAATCATCTGGCCAAACTCCTGACCCCGTTGTCGAATCACTACCGTCCCTTATATCCTCAGCTTTCGCCCAACGTGAACAATCCATACAGACTGTCCTCGAACATCAAGCCAACACTAACCAACGTTTGTTCCAGTTCGACGCCAGATTAAGGGAATTAAATGAAAAACTATCTGTTCCGGCAGCTTCAGTTTCTCCACCTCCACCTCAACTACCTCCGGTTCAGCCTGGTCCGTCCACACATTGGCACTTCCGGGTTGCAGACTCGCCTCATCCTGATACCTTCTCCGGTGAGTCCGGCTAAATACATTGTTTCCTCCTCCAATGCATGTTAACGTTTGAAAGAACCCCAGAAGTATTTATTAGTGATCCCACAAAAATTTCTTACATCGTTGGTCTGCTCCGAGGTCGTGGGCTAAGGCAAAAAGTCGGGAAGCTAGTTTCCTTAGAGGATCCTTAGACAACTTCCTCGTAGATTTTAATAGGACTTTTGGTAGATCAGAGACACCCTCAGAAATAGCCCAGGCCATTTGGAATCTGAAGCAGGAAAAACAAACGGTTTCAGACTTTGCAGTTGAATTCAGAACATTGGCAATCACTTCAAGTATGGATGAGGAGTCATTAAAAGGAGCTTTTACTCAAGCCCTCCACGACAAAATCCAGGACCAACTAGCCCTGTGTCCTGAACCTGGCACTCTGGAGGATCTCATCACTCCAGCTATTCGCATTGAGAAAAGACTCAAGACCCGTCCCAGGTCTGCTCTGCCCAGTTATCATACACCATCAGACCGCTCGTTCCACTCCTCCTCCAACTCTGCCGTCTGCTTTTGCTTCTGCCTCAGTTCCTCAAGAGGTTCCCATGCAGATAGGCCGGGCCAGTCTGACCCCAGAAGAGAGGCAACGTCGCATCTCCTCCCAACTGTGTCTGTACTGTGGTTTGTCTGGTCACTTTCTACCTAACTGTCCAATTCGCCCAAAATGGAGAGCCCACCAGTAAGTCCGGGAGTTCTGGTGGGTAGCAGCACTAACAAAGAAGCCTCCCGGTGTGTATTGGCCTGTTCAGTTTTTTTTAATCAGCTGCCTTTTTTAACTATGGCCCTGCTTGACTCTGGTTGTGAGAGGAATCTTTTAGATCAGTCTGTGGTCACTAAACTGAGAATTCCAACGACACCTCTTCTCACTCCAGTTCAGGTCTCATCATTGGATGGTAACGCGCTGACTACCATCACCCACCGAACAGGGCCTGTCAAGTTGCAAGTGTTTGGTAACCATCAAGCAGTCATTTCATTTTTTGTTTTTCCCTCTCCTCAGTTTCCAGTCGTCTAAGGACATGAATGGCTAGCATGCACAACCCCCACATCGATTGGAAGACTGGTCAAGTTGCTGCTTGGAGTCCTTACTGCTTGTCCCACTGTTTGTTGTCCGCTAGCCTTCCGGCCCAGGTTCCTGCTTCCAGTCCTCCACCCATTCCGGATCTTTCTTCAGTGCCCTCAGAATACCACGACCTGCAAACAGTTTTCAGCAAAGACCGAGCTGCATCTTTACCTCCCCATCGTCCATACGATTGCAGTATCAACCTGCTTCCTGGTGCCACATTCCCATCCAGCAGGTTGTACAGTCTTACTTAAGCTGAACATGAATGCATGACCATGTATGTCTCTGAGTCATTAGCATCAGGTCTGATTCGTCCATCCACTTCTCCCTTGGGTGTAGGGTTCTTTGTTTCAAAGAAAGATGGTTCCATGCGTCCTTGTATCAACTATCGAGGGTTAAACAAAATAACAGTCAAAAACAAATATCCTCTGCCTTTGCTTTCCTCCACCTTTGACCCTGTACAGAATGCAACCATCTTCACCAAATTTGATCTCCGCAATGCTTATCATCTTGTAAGGATCAAGGAGGGTGACGAGTGGAAAACGGCCTTCAAGACACCTCTGGGCCACTACGAGTACCTCGTCATGCCTTTTGGCCTGACCAATGCCCCCGCAGTGTTCCAGTCCCTGGTAAACTCCGTACTCTCTGACTATACCAATTCATTCGTCACTGTATACCTCGACGACATTTTGATTTTTTCCAGTACCCTTTCCGAACACCATCAACATGTCCGCACTGTCCTACAACGCCTTCTGGAGAATCGCCTTTTCGTCAAGGCTGAGAAATGCGAATTCCACATTTCTTCAGTGAAATTTCTGGGATTTGTACTAGAGAAGGGACGGCTGAGAACAGACCCGGAAAAGGTAGAAGCTGTTCATGACTGGCCAACTCCCACAACCCGCAAACAGTTTCAACGTTTCCTCGGGTTTGCAAATTTTTATCGGCGTTTTGTTCGTGGCTACAGCCAGGTGGCATCTCCCTTGACGCAGTTGACTTCTGTTAAAAGAGCCTTTGTGTGGTCAGCTAATGCTGAAAAGGCTTTTCAGGAGTTAAAGACACGTTTCACTCAAGCTCCTGTTTTGGTTCGCCCTGATCCGTCTGTTCAGTTCACCATGGAAGTCGACGCTTCAGATTCTGGCGTTGGTGCTGTCCTATCTCAAACGTCACCTTCAGATAATCTACTACATCCCTGTGCTTTTTTTTTTTTCAAAGAAACTCTCTCAGGCGGAGCAGAACTATGATGTGGGAGACCGAGAGCTGCTAGCCATCAAATTGGCTCTGGAGGAGTGGCGCCATTGGCTTGAGGGTTCCGAGCATCCCATCATTATCTGGACAGACCATTAAAACCTTGCTTACCTGAAAGAGGCCAAGGGGTTAAACCCCAGACAGTCCCGGTGGTCCCTGTTCTTCACATGTTTCAATTTTATCATCTCCTACACCCCGGATCCAAGAATGTCAAACCAGATGCTCTATCCCGCCAGTACGCTTCAGAAAGAGACCTCGAACCCGCCACTATCCTTCCTCCATCTTGTGTTGTTGGAGCTGTTTCCTGGGATATCACTAACAAAGTTCTGGACGCCCAACGCACTGATCCTGACCCAGGTAATGGCCCTTCCCATAAACTGTTTGTGCCTCAACAGGTACGAGGAGCAGTGATTCACTGGGCACATACCGCCAAGTTTTCCGTTCACCCTGGAATTGGCCGCACTCTCGCCCTGATCTGCAGGTCATTCTGGTGGCCCTCCATGTTTCATGATACAAAGGAGTACATGAACGACTGCCATGTCTGTGCCCGGAATAAAACCACCAATCAACCCCCGGCAGGACTGTTAAATCCTCTCCCCATTCCATCTCGCCCATGGTCGCATATAGCAGTGGACTTTGTTACTGGCCTACCCCTCTCCAAAGGTTTTTCTGCAATTCTTACTATAATCGAGATTTTCAAAAGCCTGTCATTTTGTTCCAGTGAAATCCCTTCCATCATCCACTGAAACCGCTAACCTCCTCATAACCCATGTTTTCAGGCTTCATGGCATCCCATCGGAGATCTTGTCAGATCGTGGCCCCCAATTCCTCTCCAGGGTCTGGAAGGAGTTTGCCACCTTATTAGGGGCCCGCTTTTCCCTGAGTTCTGGTTTCCACCCCCAAACTAACGGTCAGTGTGAACGGCACAATCAGGAGTTGGAGGCAATGCTCAGATGTGTCTGCTCTTCAAACCCTACCAGCTGGAGCACCCAACTACCATGGATCGAGTACGCGCACAACACCCACGTTTCCACTGCAACCAGTAAGTCCCTGTTTGAATCATCCCTTGGTTACAAACCTCCCCTGTTCCCTTCGG